CTCCCCCCCGCCATCCCCCCCCCCCCCTGTCCTTCCCCGGCGGGGGGGGGAGTGAGGCAGAGGGTGAACCACCCCCCCCCTGCCCTAAGGGTTTCCCGAGGTTGAGAAACACTGCTGTAGATAGTTCTCAAAACGACAGGCCACTAGATGGCACCCTCTGCACCCTCTTGGCCTCCCTCCTGCAGCCGCCCGTGGGCGCCGGAGGAGCTGCGCCCTGCTGGATCTGGCCTGGGCTCCACCGTATCAAAGCAAAGCAGCAGGAGACGCCGGACTCCCTTTTCAGAAAGAGGAAGCTGTATTTTCCAAATCCCGCTAGAAGGCCCTGGACTCTCGGCCACAGCCACCGTCCGAGCTGCCTAGTCCCTTCAGGGCTAGTGGGCGGGCTCCACCAAAGGTGTTTTTGAAATATTAGCTGCAAATTGGTCAGCCCGGGACACTCTTAAAATCCATATACTGCAATTAAGCATACTGCTGTACGTATATGTTTATGTATATAATCTTTTTATATAGTATGATTTTTTTTAGTTAATTTAATGTGGATATTTATATTTTTTACTGTTTTTGATGTTTGGTTTTAATTGTGAACTGCCCAGAGTCACCCTCTCTGGGGGAGATGGGTGGCATGTAAATTTAATAAAATAAAATAAAATAAAATAAAATAAAATAATTACTGTGTTTAGAGCGCCATACAGGCTGGCATTCTTTCGGAGAGCCCGTCTGGGGCCACGAAAAGAGAAATCTATTGCTTCTTTAATACAAAGCAAGCCTGGGCCAGTTATCAAGAAATAAAAGAGTATTGGGGCTGGAAGCTCTACAGAGAGAGGCCCCTGCTCGAAATAGGGAGGAATTTATTTTTCTCCTGCCTGAGAGAGCCCTTAAGCCGTGGAACAGCCTCCCTGCTGAAGCTGTGGGTGGGTGGGGGCAACCCCGGAGGTTTCCAAGACAAGACTGGTCCGCCATTGGTCCAGGGCGGTCTGAGGATCCTGCAGTGGGCAGGGGCTGGACTAGAGGACCTCCAAGGTCCCTTCCCACCTTATGGTTCTACCGGGTGTCACAGAGGCAACTGTAGCTCAGTAGCTGCCCACTGTGCCCCCTTCAGAAAAGAGGCGCCCTTTTGGTGGAAACCGGGATGCAGCAGGACGCCACAGGGGAACCACGCCAACCACGGAAGTCCCAGGCCCGTGGGCTGGGCTGCCTCTCCTCGAAGCGCGTGCTTGAGGCAGGGCGAGGCAGCGCGGAACCGTCCCAGCAGAAATCTGGGAGGGCTCTAAGGAACCCAGAGTCCGTGCCGCCCTTTCTGCGTGAAGAATACGTTCCCCCAAGCCACCACCAAAAGAGGAAAAGAGGCTGTGATGGGGAAAGAAGGGAGTTTGGGCCTGTTTTTCTGCATAACTAATTTTTCGCACTGTGTTACACACCCAGCCTGCTATGGGGTGGGGAAGACTCTCTGGGCCGCAGACCTGTCATCACTTTACATGAATTTCGACACCCAAAGTTTCTTTCCACCACCTTGAAACTTCTGGACAGCAGAAGCCCAGCCTGAGACTTTCTTTTCTTTGGCGGAGCTTCCACCAGGGGAGGGGAGAGGTCCCAGCCAAGGGGACGAGGATTCAAGGAGGCAGGAAGCCCACCCTTCTCTCGAGAAGCCGCCATCTCTAAGCCAGCGTCCCTTGAGGCAGTTCCGTGAGATTGTTTCTCTGGGTTGGACGCGAACACAAAGCCGTCGGGATATTTGGCGGGGCTCTTGCTTGAGTCGTCCCACCCCACCCCCTTCTCGTCTGGGGAGTCTGCAGTTTCTGCCCCCATCTGTCAAAACCAAGCGGAGCCCGAGCTGGGAATTCACGTCTCCTTCCTGACTGACAGCCGCAAGAAGATGACAGCTCTGCAGCAGAAGCGCCGCCGGAGGGGCAGAGACCTAGCCTTAGGGGCCCCCTCAGCTTCCGGAGGCTCGCGCTGCCAGCCTTGCCCCCTTAAGGGGCAGAGGGCAAGGCCCCAGCAGCCAGAGGGGGGTGAGTTGCTGCTCTGGCCGGCAGAGGCTCCTTCCTAACCCCTCCAGTCTGCTGACCAGGGTGGGGACTGGAGCGGTGAGCAGGTGGGACTGCCTTGTGAAACCCCGCAGAATGAAGCCGTGAACGCAGACAACGCCGAGCCACCCGGGCAGGCCACTGCCTACCCAAGCGCTCAGCGGGCAGGGAGGGAGCGAGATGTTCACACTCAGGAACACAAGTGACTCACGCCTGGGAAAGGCGTTTCTCGCGCCAGGTGGCCAGGGAAGCCACAGTCTCTTGGCTGAGCCCGTGCCTTCCCAGCCAGCTGCGAAGCTATTCTCCACCCCACCCCTCAAGAAGAACAGCCCCTTACTCCCTTTTCTTTCTCTTGCCTGCTCCGAAAGGCAGCCTCATCCGGAGCCGCGTGGCCCTTGCGGGTGGGTGCTTTCTCAGGCCCTTGTGATGCCCCACAACTGACCCGTGGTTTCTGCAGAAAGACCCAGCCCTGGATCCCAGCCCTGCATCCTCAAATCGCTCCCAGGATGGAGGGGGACAGAAAGTTCACTGGGTGGGGGGATCGTTGCAAGGCAAAGTGGCCTTGCAGATGCTTAAGGCACCTGCTTCAGCCCCTCCCCTTCCGAAACCAAGTCCTCCACTGCTTGCTTCTACAGCGCAGCCTTTGAATGGCCAGAAGCCGCAAGACCTGCAATCCTATGAGAGGGTCCCTGAATCACACTATTACTGATCCAGGGTGAGGCTCTTCAGCTACAATTTTTCAATCAGAAAGCAGCCATCTCTGCTTTTCGAAAAGAGGTTCTGCTACATGTGCTCCAACCACTGTTTGGAAGTCCTAATTCCTAGAGAAAATTGGCCACTGAAGCCAAGAGAGAGAGGGACAGAGAGAGTGAATTCAGATGTTCTGAGAAAGGGTGCTGGGTTCTTGATTCCAAGTTCAAGTGCTTACAACGCCTCCTGTTCTTCTTATGCCCCTTCATGCAGACCCTGTCTTACAGATGCCTACCAGGCCAGAAGACTGGAGGAGAGCAGATCTCCCTGTTTTTGATTTCTACTAAGCCACCAAGAGTCAAACTGATTGTTATCTTCCAAAAGGGGACAAAGGGAACTGCAGACCCCTCTGGCTGATCCTGATCCCTGCTAAGATTCTAGAGCAGATCGTAAAGAGACTGACTGGAAAACAATGCAGTGATCACCAGATTTCAGCTTGCCAGACAAATCTTATTTCATGTTTTTCTTAGGTAACCTTAATAGATTGTGGGAAGGCTGTAGACATAATATGGCTTGGGGCGCTCAAGCAGAGGCCGGGCAGCCCCTGGGCACAGATGCTTTAGTATGGGCTTGGTGATTCTGCTTCTGACTCAATGGCTGACACATTACACCAGTCTCCTCCCTTTTCCCAGACAGGTGGTCTTACCTGTGTTGTACGCCGTGGGCATCGCTGAGAAGGGCAGCCCCTGTGTCAGCAGGCTGGGCGTGGCCACCGAAACAACAGGCGTGGTCAAAGAGTGTGTGGCTTGAGACACCACGAGTCTTTGGGCATTCTGCTGGGAGGGAGAGAAAGAGAGAGAGAAGGGAATGAGACAGGGAAGCCAAAGGAGCAGGGAGAAGTTGGACACCTGGACACATTGCTGTTGCAATGACAGGGCTCTCTGACGATGGGCACCGTGGGGAAGGGGGCAAGTTCTTCACCTCTGAGCCTCAGGCCAAGGAAAGGAAGGGACAGCCGGTCTTTGTGGCTCCTCCACGCCGTTCTCCCTAATTGGCCTATTCTGCAGATGGAGGTATCTCTGCCCCTTAATGCTCCACCCTAACCCCCAGGGGGCCTGTGAGCCACGGCTGAGGGGGCAGGGGGCAGGTGTCAGGCTTCACACAAGGACACGGCAGCAAATCTTGGCTCTCCAGACACTTCACCCCTTATTCAGCACTTGGCTGACCTGGCGGAAGGCTCACTGACACGAACAGCCAGAGCAGGCTCCTTACTGCAGACAAAATGAAGCCATAAACACAACAGCCGATCGTCCTCTGCGGTGCAAAGTCACCAGAGCCCTTATGGATTTGGGCGCTGTCTGTAACCCCTCAACTTTTTCCTGCTGATGGAGGCTTGGTGGTTCACCATGGCCCTGGGTGGCTCAGGTGTGTTGGCAAAACGGCCCTCTCTCACCTGGGCCCCAGTTGCTGCCTTGCCAGCTCAGTCCCACGTGGTGCCAACCCCGCTAACCACAAAGCTCCCTGGGCACCTCCCAGGGCTGTTCTGGAGATGAGAAAGGAGGGATCGCGCATGCTGTGCAGAGCTCTATGACAATGCAAAACACATTGCTGGCTGGGCTCTCATCATATGCTAAACCCAAAAGCTGGACTAACGGAACGTAATGCCCAAGCAGTTAGCCACATTCTGGCTGGTTCCCACCTCCTGCTAGAAGAATGGCAGGATCCTGACGTGCCGACCCAAATGTCTACGCCCGTTTCAGCCTAGCCTGGCACGTTGGGCAAACCCAGCTAAGAAGATGAAGGGTACACCCCACCCATGAGCAGCGGGGTGTGTGTGTGTGTGTGTGCGTGTGTGTGTGTGTGACTTTCAACACCGGGACAGAACTGCCACCCTCCTCCCCCTCCTCACGTCCAGAAGCGCATCCCAGGCTGCCCCCTCCCTGGATCGCTCCTCGACCCACAGAGTTGCTTTCCTCTGCTCGTCCTCCATACCAAAGCCCCACAACTGAGAGGTGGGGTAGGGGTAGGGCCTGGGGAGGGAAGGAGAGGGGAGATCCAGGCCCAACAACCTCAACCACGGAAGTGTTCTTGCTTCAGTGATTACACTGGAGAAAGGCCTGAGTGACCGAAGGGAGGCCGAGATGCCTAAAATGCTCTCATTTATCCCCCGTGGCACGAAACATACTCTTATTTCAAATTGTTTATGCAGCCACAGAATGCTATTGAAGTGTTACACTTTACCCCAGCTTCTCCTGCAATACGCCCACCCACAGACTTGTTCTTCCCTGCCTTTTTAAACTCTACAGCAACCCAAGCCCCGTGGCTGAGTGGTGACCAGACCCCAACTTCCCCCATTGCGAGCAGTGGCCACTCCTGCCCCAGGGCCAACAGCAGGGGGAGAACAGGGAGACCCCCTCCCCTAGTCCTAATCCCCCCAGAGCCTGGCCGACCTGGCCTTGGGCCCTCCTCCTTCCCATCTCAGGGGATGTGAGAGCCCCCGAGGCTGGTGCCCCAGTGCGCAGTTTGGGATGGGGGTCTCTCCGGAGAAGGAAAAGCGGCCCTCAGCAGTGCCTGAACTGGGGTGAGGAGAGGGCAGGGGCCGCTCAGCCATCCTCACCCAGGTAAGCAAAGCTACTCCCCCCCCAGAACCTCCTTCTCCATTTCTGGCTTGCTGCTCCTGTGATGAGAATCCCGCAGGCGTGGTGCTCCCGGGGCAGCCGCGCTCTGTGCTCTGCCTAAGGTGCCTCAGCCTGGCACCCACAGCACTGGGGCAAAGCCCTGGGGACTCTCTTCTAGAGATGTGGGCCCAGCACGTGGCTTGGCTCCAACCCACGCGCTGGGTTCCTGCCTCTGGCTCTTTCGGTGTTGCACGTAAAGGACTATTTGGAGGGGGGAGTCACTGCTTGCAGCGAAAGGGCTTCTGCCCTAATTACGGGGGTGTGTGGCAAAGGCTCACTGGGGGCACATAAGCCACGGGCCAGATCCAGTTGGCTAACCGGACTCTGCTAACGCTGCAAAGGTCAGGACCCTCAGCCTGTTCAGCAGTGCCGGGGAGCCATGGCACCCCAGACAGGGGCAGGGAGGAGAGGCTGCGCCCAAGGAAGTGCAAGGGAGCATGCAACAAGGGGGCAGTGGTGGGTGAGGGATTTCTGGGCCAATTCAGATGACCATCTCCTCCTCCTCCTCACCAAGAAAAGGGAAGAAAGAGAGTCCCACCAAAAAGGGATCTTCTCAGTCTCACCATGAGCTGCCAATGCTGGGGCCCAGGCAGTTTACGCAGCTGGCAAGCATGCGCCAGCCAGGAGGAAAACATGTCTCGACCAATCCAGGCCCCTCAGAAGGGGCCAGAAGCCGGCGCAGAAGCCGGTGCTTCCTCCAGGAGACCCCCCAACTTATCTAACTCACAATTTTAGGAGAGTGGTTGGCAAAAGAAGCTTGTGTATGCACACACACACTCACAAAGACACAGGCACACCCATGCATAACTCACCAGATCCAACTGATCGTCCGTCTAGATGCGGAATAAAAATGAAAGCAAAGGAAACTTATTACATTTAATTCCTAATTCTGATATTGCTTCCACGTTCACTGAAAATTCTGTTTCATTCGCAGACCACCAGAAATTCAGTGTTGTGCGAATTTGCTCATTTTTTTTTAAGCTTGGGGGACTTCCAGGTGGACAACCCCAATCCAGGAAATAAAGGTGCCATTATTTTGGAATTGCCCGGCTGCGCCTAAGCGACCTCTGCCCAAGAACCCTCTGTTAGATATTATATCAGCCCCTCCGATGAAGAGTCAGAACAAAAACACCCCTTGGCAGTTATCTCCTCTTTCCACAGGGGGAAAAGGCGCATTTGGAATTACCGCTGCAAGACTGATGCCAATAGTTAGACAGATGAACAGATTAAAGTGATTTGGCTGGACCAAAGGGGGGCCTTCAGTGACCCGGGAAGCCGAAGTCTGACATCTGTATCTTTGAAACAAATGCGGAGAAAGTGGGGTTTTGCTGGCTGAGAGGTTGCTCCCACAGAACACGGAGGCCATTTTCTTTAGAGGGATTTCTTTAGATGCATGTTTTAGGAGAGCCGAGAAACAAGGGGGTCAGGCTGGATTGGAACATTAATGTTTACACACACGACCCCTATTTCACGCCTGTTTTCTTTGGAACTGCCACTTTGCCACCTCCATGCCCCAACAGCATCCTGTGGCCTGTTGCATATAACAGGACGTTCTGCGCGTCCTCAAAGGTGTACTGAAGACGGGGAGGGATTTCACGGTGCAGAGCTACCCAACGGAGCACCTTTGGGGCAGGTGTGCCGGCGGGCTGGAAACGCGCATCGTTTCAGACCAGACTTCCCTGTCGCAAGTTGGGCTCACCAGATGCTGCACGAGGCCTTTTCCGCCCTGGGAGGTGATGACACGAAGGTCCGGCTTGCGGATGTTAACGGCCAACTGGCTGCTGTGAGGGGGGGGTGGTGGGGGCGACTTGGCTGGGATGGCCTTGCCTAAGCTGTTTCCATTGGAGATGGGGAGGAGGTTCGGGGAGGCCCTGGCGCTGACGTAACCATTGCCTGAGGAGAGAATAAAGCAATTGCAAGAATTAGCAGTGTTGGGAAACAAGCAGCTGCCTCCGTCCTCCACTGCAACCGATCCAAATTACATGTTCCTGAAATAACCCGGTCTTCTCTCGCTTGCTCTTGGTCTCGGAACGTCCACCCAGGAGCAGAGAGCATCAAAACGGCTCTTCCTGAAGCGTGAGGTATCCGGAGGGTATCCCCGTGGACAGACCACCGCCCTCTCAAAAACTGAGAGGCCGGCAAAGGACGCAAGCCCCAAAGAGGAACCGGGGCAGTCACGGGGGGCCCTCCTGTGCCCAAAGGCCTTCTGGCCCCATCCCAGAACCAACCGGGGGACCAAGCTGCGCCCACAAGCCCTTCCCATCCCCTCATTGCGTTGCCAGGGCTCTCCCCCTTCGGGGTTCCAACAAGCTGATGAATGGAGAGGCGGGCGTCGCTATCAGCCCCAAGAGCTCCGTGGGGCCCCCAGAGCAGGGCGGTTGCCAAGGGGCAAAGGGCAGTTGCCATCTTGCCAAAGGCATCTGGGGCGCAGGGTAGTAGAGCACATTCTGCCCCCCTCGCACTGGCATTCTTCAGGTCCCTAGGAGGCCCCCTCCAACGGGCTTGGCACACGCGCTGGCTCTCCACGCATGGACCTCCGCCGGCCCCCTGGGCTGCTTATGGACAGCTGGGCAGGTTCATCCGAACTGTGGATCAGAAACACGCTGTGGCCCAAGAGCACCATCACCCAACTGGCCAAGGGTCCATTTGGGTCAGCCCAGAACCCCTGGTGCGGGCTTTGGAGCAACACAGACGGCAAAGCTTCTGGGAGGGGGTACAGGATTAGCGTCCTATTTAGAGAGGGAGGGGAACCAAGGCCTAGCCTAGCTACCCTGCCCAAGCGCCCGGGGCGCCTCCTCCAAGGTATGCACGCCCTCTGCAGCCAGAGAGGAGAGCCCGAAAGAGGGTGGTCCCAGAGTGGCCCCCCAGCACCCGAGGCTCTCGCCGGCTTCCCTGCTCCCGTGTCTGGAACGAGGGGAATGTTTTCGTGACGTCAATGCTGACATTCACGGGCCTTGCCAAGTTACAAGCCGGAACA